GATACACACCACTGAACTCCCACAATGGTACTTCTAAAGGGTTTGTTAGAAACACATAATTGCAAAATATACTGTGCTAGTAGCAGTCAAAAAAATACATAAGCATTGTCCTTTGCATTAATTAAAACAAGAGGCTCAAAGTATGAGTCAGGTACACTTTTTGTGTTTACAAACATGTACAGGCTAGGCATTTAGACAGTGACTTATGCAAATTATGTGTATACAATTAGCCATTTGCATTCAGAGGTACCTGATTTGTGCTTACATACAGATGAATCCACAATCTTTTTTATTTAATAAAATATTGATGTTTACAGTGTAACACAATCATGCAATTTACAATATATGCACAACATGTCAATGGCATTCATCAGAACCATCAGAACATTGCACATATTACCACTCCAGACCACCATAACAGGAAGAAAATGTTTTCTTTCATTCCTTAGTTTCCCTTCAAAATTAAAAAGACTGGCAAAATATATGGAGTCTAGGTCTTACCCTGCGTCCTGGAGATCCCCTGTCTCCTGGACTGCCTTCCAGACCAGCACGTCCTGGAATACCCTATGAACAGTAGCATGTTACATATGTAGTATTCAAAGAACATACACAGGTTACAAAAAATTTACATTTTCTATTGGAAATCAACAGATTTCCTTCCTTCTTCCTTTATTTGCTACATGATTAAGTTCCACTGACTTAAGTGTAAACGAGAAGTAAGAGAAAAGAGTATCAGGTCTGACATAATTTTCACTTTACAAGGTAAACAACCTGGATAGCATCAAAGCACCAATTTTCTTCTAGTAGTTCACGTCATTTTTGTTAAGTGTATTATTCATCCAATATGTTCAAAGCTCATTTAGAAATACAATCCTTAAAATAAAATTAGCTCATGCACATCCTTGCTTTTGGTGGCAAAAGCCTTGTTTAATTTCTGTCCTTTTTGGAAAAGCAGTGCTGAGTAAAAACAGTTCAGTGGGACCAAACTCTTCTTGGTTAATATTCAGCCGTGGAAAAGCTTGGGGAAAAAAGGGAGAAAGAAACACACAAGAAGCAAGAAAAATCAGGACAAAGAAGTTAATGGGGAATAAATACAATCATCACACTGCTCTTAAACCAGCAAATTTCTTCTACAGCATTTTTTTATCCAAAAGGCACAAAAGGAAAGTGAACTGGAACAGCAGGTAGGACATTCAGAAATAGTCATTGCTTCTGTTCAGTGTGGCGTACACAGGGACAGAGCACAGCCAGCATTAGCAGCCTTCGAAAATGACAGACATAACATCTAAAAATCAATACAAGTGTGCAATCAGCACATCAAGAAGGAGCCTATTAAAAAAATCCATTAAAGAACAACAATGATAAGGTACTTGCCATTCTGCCTCTGTACCCTTTTAGACCATGTTCCCCTGGGATTCCCTGGTCCCCAGCTTCACCCTAGATGATTGGAAAAAAATGTAATTAGATTGTGAAAACAGGCTTTCCTGATAAAAACACAAACTTCTCAAGAAATTACGACAGCATTTTGCCACTGAAACACAGGGACATGAAAGATCACACACAAAAAATTAGTCATGGATTTATGTAAAAAAAAACCAAACCAAACCTACACAATGACCAGCCAATGATTTTTTCACCAGGGAAAAAGAAAATGAGATGCACCTGTTACTTCAATGCGGCATCATAAGATAACAAAAGACACACAACATCTTGTTTCACACAAGTGAAAGTACTTCTCCCTCTAATCTGCCAAAACCGTACTGTTTACTGCAGTGTCTTCTCTCCAAATAATACCTTCTATGGCAGAAGTATGCTGCTTCCAAAATGTGATTTATCTACTTGTTAACAAAAGCACACACTGCTTTCCCATGAGAACAGTGAAGAGCTGGCAGTTCAATTTATTTAACAAAACTTCTAATTGGTCCCTAATTACTGTGTAAGTAAAAATATTGGAGAAAATATTAACAGGGAATTGCTGTGCCTAGAACATGGAAAATGTCGTGATATCAACAAGAACAAGCCCCTGCCAGATTTTCTACATCTATGGGGGAATGGATGTCAGTCAGCAAACTGTCAGAACATGAGGCACTCCTTACTCTTCTTTAGTCCGTACACAAATGGCCATTTACCAGGAAGGTTTTGGTCAGAGATCTGGCACGCAACTTGCCCAGATTGTATCCAAGCCATGATGTTCATGTATTACTTAATAAATTAACTGAAGGAAATCCTTGACTTTTAATTTTTTGAGCAATCATGGATTTCCTATTAGGAAAACGGGTCCTATCCAAAGCTTCTATAAACACCACTTTTATTTTGCAAAACAGTGGAGGGGCAAAAGATTTTTTTCCCCAGCTAAATGTATTTTGGCATTTCATACAAGAAATCTAAAATTCATAACAAGCCCATAGGAATATTAATGGTTGTCATATATCAAACATAAGCTTATTAAATAAAGACTGCCACAATGAATTAGCTGGATTTAGAAACACATAGAAACACACAACAAGCTAGCTTGTTGTCTTACTTTATAAATTACCAACTACTTTTTTATGTTCAGAAAATTATTATTTCTGTGGTTTAGTTCTCTTTTTTAAACTCTTGGCATATAAAACATGATGTCAACAGACTGTTGGACTTGCAAAATTAGGCACTTGAAAGTAAAGAAAGGTCAGGACTTCTGCTGATAAATCTCCATTTTATTTCTCTCCAAAATTCTTTTTCCTCCTTTGCCCATATTTTAGTAGCACAGAGTTAGCCTGAATGAATTCACTCTGACATGGTCATACAATGCAGCAGAGCAAGACCTCCTGTGTCCATCTACTTTTACTGTAGGGAAGGCAGAAGCTGTTTTCCCAAAGTTCCTGTCTATAAACAAGTAAGTCTGAAGCTTCAGGAGTAGGAAAAACCACTGCTAGTCCCGCTTGTGTGGCAGCCTCTGGATCCTTGGAGGTCAGAAGAAACCTCTGCCTACGAACACTATCTTTGCTTAAACAATTAAAGTGGTGCAATAAATTCAAACCTTGCTGAAAAGACTGCACACAGAGCAACTTTACTGAGTAAACTATAAGAGGGACAAAGGCAAACAATAGGTGGGCTTCCCAAAAGCCATTTCAGCCTAGGTTGTTTCCCTCAGAGTTAGGGCTCATTCAGGACACTTAGAACTTCCTTTTCCATCTCTCTGTGAAAGTTCCTTCATTTTATAGCAGCCAGCATCAGCTTGTTCTTCCCAGCAAAACACCTGCTCCATTTTTATTTAGTGCTCACTGGCTGGAAAGGGGAGAATGGCAGATGAAAGCTTTCAGTCATTTACCACTCACACATGTTATCCCACCTGCTCCTTTAACAAAACCAAATCCTACTTCTTTCCACAAAATGCCAGGAAAATTCACTCAATCTATGGCAAGTTATCTACAAAAACTATTCTCATTTTTAAAAAGACATATTAGCAATAGTATCTGCCATTTTTGGAATGGTATAATTCTATCAGCTACATCTGAGTTACACCTGTATAATCACAATGCAGTAAAGAACAGATTATTTAAGCTAACATATGAAAGTCAGAGAACTGCTGAGGTAAAAAAACAATATATACCTTCTGTCCAATATGTCCAGGAAATCCTTTATTTCCCTGTAACATAGAGAGTAGAGATAATTAAATTCACAATGTCATCCCAGTGTTGTTTTTTATTTGGCATTTGAAAGTAATATGCTGGTTTGTATGTATATGTATGAATACTTACATTATATGTGTAATATATACACTGCATATGTAAAATATATGGAAAGATACACACACAACACATATATATATATATAAAAATACTGCTGATGAGGATCTACTTATAGCTTTAGCTTGTCCCAGTCATGAATAAAGAGTGAAATTGTCGTTACACTGGCACCTAAAGGGGATGAATCTTAGCACATTTCTTGAGGTAAGTTTCTAGTAAATCAGATGTAGGGCAGAAGCTGGTATTTGTTGATGGTGATATGCCAAGCTGTATTTTTCATTTCCAAAAACCATACTAGCAAGAGCTTGGTGCTGGCCAGGAGACATTGTCTTACAGGGACACAATGTGCCATATGAGCAACATCTAAGGACGATAACAACTCTTATTTTTTTTAATTCAACAGACAAACTCATGGCTCATTTAGCCATTGCTGGATCCAGAATCTCTCTCCAGTATTTCTCAGGACCAAGTCAATAATGCTTCTGCCAGTGTGTGGGATGAGCATCTCCAGTTTGTCTTCTCCTTCCTGCACATTCCTTGCTCACAATTTCACCAACAACTGCCACAGTCTCTGGCTCTTTCCAAGGAAACCACCAAGGCCACACTGCTCACTTCTCACCAGGACCTTGCTAATGACTTTTTGAATAGGATTACTTGTGTTTCACTTGTTTGCATAAAGGAGCTTAATGGCTATATTCTGAATAAAAGACATTTTTGCAGCCACCAGCTCTTATAAACTGTAGGAATGTAAAACTAGAAGGAAACTTGCTATATGATTTGCCTGATGTTTCTGCCAAAATATCATATAATCCTACTTCTGAAAGCATCAAGATTTATCTAAAAATCTACTGAAGCCTCCTGCATCCTACAATATGCAGAAATATATTCTAGAATCACAATATGAACTAGCTTCAGCGACAAGACAAATGATGCCTCTTGGCCACAGGGACCTTACAGTCTAAGGTTAAGGGTGCAAAACCCACTGTGAACCACACTGATTTTAACAATTCATTGTTTGGTCTCAGGTATGTGCTCACATAGAACAGCTAGTGAATTAGTCATAGTGAGTGATAATTAGAAATAAAATCAGTAGTTGTGTAGGTTAGAGTTCTATCTCATATGCCTTGGGATGAAATTCAAATAGCTATAAATGGTGCCTGTTGTTTGCATTTCCCCAAGCTTTCCCTCGTATGGTAAATGACTTCTAAAATAATGGAGAAAATAATCATTTCCTTATATTCCTCTTGCAGTTTTACCTTTACTCCTTTTTCTCCAGGTAGGCCATATCCAAAAGGACCATCTTCTCCCTGTAAACAGACCATTTTTACCGAAGTATTTGCATTTGTACTCTTCTTGCATTCTATCTGCACCTTATTTTACCGACCAGGTGTTAATTCAAGTGCCTTGGAGTACAGAATCACAGGAGGTCTGTTGTAAGGAATTGCAATACATTTGGGAAGAGCAAGATGACGTCTACAACATTCACTTCATGCATATGCACACTGTGCCCCTGAACCAGCCCAAAGTCTCTGCAGTCTGTGGGAAGTAAGATCTTAAAAGTGAACACAAAGGTGGAACTTGGTCCTGGCTTGAGCCTCGAAGACAGGAGGAATGGTGGGAATATGTCTCCAAAGCTGACCCAGTCTAACAGAAGGGAAGGTATTATATATGCATAGAGGAGAAAGCCAAGTCCACAAAAAAAAAATCCTCCTGCAATTATTGATTACTCTGAAAATACTACTGCACTGTCTCTAACTGCACCTCAAAGCCAATCTTTAGAAAATCCAGCCCCAAAAGAAACTGCATTTTTATACTACCACTAGAAACTGATCAAACTCTTGTTTATGGTTTCTTCACAACCAGCACAATTAGAACCATATTCCAAAGTATCAGAAACAGAAAGTTTCAAACTCAAAACCTAAAGCACCTGGTCATTCTCTACTAACTCAAATGGTATTTCTTCCCAATACTATTAATAGAAATAATGTAATGTTACAGTAGAATGTACCAAAGGTTTGGGGTCATATCTGCTCTTGTAATTCACACTTGTATTTGTTCAGAATAACTCTAATATAACTGTTAGAAGACTCACAGCAAAAAGTAGTTTAAAATTTATATTTTTTCAGTTATTCTGAAAGAAAAAAATCTATATTCTCTGTTATTACATTTATTCTCTCTGTTATTACACTTAATATCAGGTCTTAATTGACCAAACTGAAATTCTTGATTTACATATCTTTCAGGACAGGACAAGCCTCCTGCTTTAGGTCTGGTGTAGCCAAAATAAGCAGCATAAAGATAAAAATAAAAGTACAAACCCGCATTCCACGCAAACCATATGGACCTGTTTCTCCTTTTGGTCCTGGATCACCAGGTTGTCCCTATTAAAAAAATAATTAGGTAAACCATTCCCATACTCATTTGAGTCATGCTTGGTTAAAGGGATACTGTGAATTTCAAAATGAGTTTCTGCAAAGTAAATCTGAAATATTGTATTGAAGGTCCTTCTTCAACTCTCTAAATACAGACTGAAAGGAAGATTTTCATAATATGGGCAGACAACTAGATTTTTCAAAGAATATATGATTTCCAAACCCAAGAACAAAACTTTTCTAGTGTCAGGTCAAACAGCCTCTATTAATGGATGTGAAATTGTGAGTATTAAAGGATTAAAATCACTGGCTCCAAAGAGTCATCTTACAGTCTCACAAACAAATTTCAATTTCAAAAGGCATGGAAGAATTTCCTTCATCCTGTGGAATAACTATCTGACTATACCAGCTGACAAACCCCACATGCTCATCCAGAAAAATGAAGGAATTTGACTCTTTGAAAGAAGATATAACAACACTATTACCTTCAAGCTACTTTCTTACAATTTATAAAATCAGATAAGCAGCCTCAGGATTGCAGGCAGAAAAGTACCTTAAACCCAACTTTTATGTTAAAAGCCACTTTGCATTTACCCTTTAGATGTGCAAATGCTAGACTGAGTGTTCTCACCCAGAAGTTTTGTGTATATCCTGAGACACCCAAATTTATGCCTATGAAAATTGTGATTGTTTACTTTTGAGATATCCTACACATCCTCAAATGCAAAAATAAACTATTTCAAATATCTTACACTTTCACCATAAAGATTGTTACTCTTAATTTTGTCAGGCATTTTTCTTTTGGATTCTCAGCTTATCATGATTCTGAAAGTTTGAGTTAAAAGGAAACACTGAAACTCTATTATAATATTTTTATTGGAATCACTTCTTCTGATCTCTGGTTATGTGAAGCTTTCCCCCACCCCCTTTAATAGTTACTTTAGCCTGGCACAGAGCTTACAATTTCTTTCAGGAAGAGTAAATCAAATAAACATGAACTGTTAGGTCCTAATAGAAGAACTACACAACACAACATCGTTTACCATGCAAATGATACCAGTCTTATAAAGTGCTTACAAACAGCTTATAAATTTACAGAATTAACAAACTATCCAGAAGGTAGAAGTTACATCTGAAGGTTTAATAGGTGAAACAAAATTCATTTAAAACTCTGCTTCCCTGAACTTTCTAGTCCACGCTTTGGCAGAAAGAGGCTTTTGAAATAAGAGAAAGTCCAGATCTAAAAAGCTTACTCTTGAAAAGCTCTGTGCAGCTGTGGCCAGAGCCATTACTAACATGCATACTGTGCTGGCTGTACTTGCTTGGTTTTTTATCAAAGGAATTTTAGTACCATACAAAATGCAATCCAAAAAGAAACATGATAAAGCTTATTTAAACTTCACCACACAATTGCTACTCAGATCAAGAGACTGATCCTGCAGACATCCCCTGCACCTTTACCTGGGAAATAGTTCCAGATGTGGATTCCAAGAACAGAATAGGCAAGCCATTTTTAAATCAACAATATTAAAGGAGGGAATTAAACAAACAAAATTAATACAGTAATTTAACTAAGGGAACCTTACTTTAATTCCTGGTTTCCCAGGAGCTCCAGGATTCCCTGCCGGACCCACAGCGCCTGGTTCATTCTGAAATAAACAAAAGGAGACAAATACTACGATGTAAAATAAGAAAACAGAGAAAACACACAGATTCTTTCTCAGGTTGGACTTACATTTTATAAAAATTGACTAATTCCATAAAATTTGTAGGCTACATAATCACTATCTATGCCTCCTTACAGCCCTCCTCTAGAAAGGAGCCCTCAAGGTTCCAGGAAAAAGGCTGATCTTCCAGATAACACACAAGATGACGTATCAATAAGATCAGCTTCAACCTCCACTTAAGGCTTCCTGTTTGATTCCGGGATTCATCTGCAATCCACGGTTGAACAGAAAGACTAAGGAGGAGGAAACTAAACAGAAGAAAATTGTAGGTGCTATTCTGTTACTTGTAAGTTAAAATTAAGGATACTGATAGAATTTGTCTTGAAAGTGGGTCGGAGAACATGATCCTATTTTCTCCAGGACTTTAATCCAATGTAGGTATTTTTGATATAACAAGAGTTTGGCTTAACCAAACTTTGCCACATCCTTTAGTATCCTCTCTCTGAAATAACCTGGCTGCAGAATTACAATAACCAACCCATATAGTACCAACCAAATGCTTTCCTCCAGGTGTTTGGCAGGGATTAGTCAGCTAATGTAAATAAAACTTAGCTTTTAATAAAAATTAGTTGTAAATAGCACACACCACTTCTTCCTTTCCCCTCCCCTAAATAGCAGAAACTTTAAAAACAGAGGCCATTATTACTTTTATTCGGATAGCACATTTTTTCCAGTCTTCATCATGCCAATCTTCTCTCAGTTCCGAACAAGTACAATTATTTATCCTTATACTCTATACTTAGTAAAAATATCTTAACAAAATTGCTAGCAGCTGTCCATCAACACAGCCATTTAAAAACCTGCAGGGCATAATACTGACTGCTATTACAGGAGAGCCCATACTGCATCAGGAGCAATGGGAACTTTGCTTGAGCAAGCCAGGTTAGCATCTTGGCCTCATATTTGTAGCCGAAGAGCAGCTGCCGCATTATGCTAAAGAAAGCCACGCTATTCTAAACATTTTCTGAAGAAAATCAACGGATGTGGGGTTTGGATGATACATGAGAGCAAAGGCAGATCTACCCTCCCAGCCCTTCACAGCTGGCTTCCAGAAGCTCTGATTGATGGCTTCTGTTACTGAATGTGACCATGGACCTTTGTATGTAACAGATCTCCAAGGCCAAAACTAATGTGTTTCTAAAGAAGCACATACATTTTTTCATTTTTTTTACACAGGCATAGAAAATGCACAGACAGGAAGACAGAGCTATCTCCATTTCTTTAGCATCTTTTCAAATTAACAAGTCTCATTACAGGGTAATGAAGAGGAAACGTGCTCTTCTGCTTTCTCTTTGCAATGGATGCAGTGACAAGCATGTTTTTCTCTATACAGGACAGATACATGGAGACTTCTATCTCCATCATCTCTCAGGATATTTACAAGTGTGTGGAGTGGGGCTGGAAATTGATTTGACTATGTGCTAAGTAAGGCTTACACCAGTGAGAGTAAGTACTGTAGCTAGGGATACTATCTATAAAGCTGTCAAATGGCAGTAACTTTATTTCTTTCACAACAACAATTGGAATGGTGTGAATTAAATATTTGTATTCTAAAACACAGAGTAGAAATATTAAAAATTCTCTGTATCTTGCAGATCACTGAGTTGTTAGGGGAAGGGCCATCAGAAAGGGCAATACTTTCCCCCGTGCCCAGACCAGGATATCACATAATACGTGATACAGAAATGAAAACTGGAACAGTTAACTTGAATGAAAAGATTAAGCGACCACAGACTAGAATAATTTCAGATAATAATGCCATAAAAATAGAAGAATAAAATGTCTTTCTGTAATACAGGATTGTATTTTCAACTCAAATGCTTCAAATGACAGTGTACCTAGCATGGAGTATTTTAGAGTATAAGGAAGTTGAATAGTTTATTGCCAAACAAAAGTTGATATGGTCAGAAAACAAAAGTATTATTCACAACAAACAGCTTTGTAGATGTAAGGAACTGCGTAACCACATGGCATTCATTCCTGGGGAAAAATTATATTACCAGAACAAGAGGCAGTTTCCTTGTGGTGAACTACAGCAGGAAAGAAAGTGGGGCAAAACAAAGTCTAATGCATTAAGCAATGTGACTAGGCCTTTGCTGTTGATGTGGTTCTGTGACCTATTCTGTGTTCCTGTGAAAGTCTATCCCTGGCTCTCTGCTTCTGCCTCTCCTTCCTCTGCTGCTGATCAGCCCAGGACTATTTGGATCTCTAACAGGGTGTGACTCCACTTCCTAGAATAATGGCACTTCTGCTAGGGGAGCAGAGGAGTTGCTAAGGTCATCACTAAGAATATAATAGCAGTCCTAGGAGTCATGCACCAACACACAATGTATTGTATAAAAATATTCTGATACAAGATTTCTTTAAGAATAGATTTTCAAATACTGTGCAAGGAAAAAAGTGGTCAGACATGATTCCTAGTCACCAGTTGGTGGTTGTGACCCACCTCACACAGCATGACAATTTGAGTGCTAATTGGAAGACAGGAAACCAATTCCGGTTTTGGTCACTGAACACGACACTTGCAAATAAACACAACATTAACATCTACACAGCATGTTCAGTCAAAATGCCTAGGACTGGTCACACGACAGTGAGAAAACCGGACACCTTTTGGACAGAACTGACAAAAATAAGTGAAATTCAATTGAGAGACGTGCTTCGTAAGTCAAACTGAAGCCTCCTCAGCTCACTATTGGCAGAGGAAGATAAAGATAAGCAGCTGGTTCCCATGGTAAATTGTTTGCTGGGAAACATTTCTTTAAATAAGACTGCATATAAAAAATTAATTAAGTGTCACATCAATGAAGCATTCAAGATGTCTTTCCAAAATAACAGCAAGCATTCCATTCCTGCAGAAAATATTGTTTTAAGAGTCTTGTTCTCAAGACAAAAAGACAGCATTTTTATGGATAAGCACACAACAGAATAATATTATCTAGACTTGAACATTGAGTGGCCTCTGAAAAAAACAAGTGAAAACAGTTTTTCTTTTCCATGACAATCTTGGAATTTGGCACCAGAATAGCAAAGAGGACATATGTGAATGATCTACTGGGTATTTACAGCTCCAAGTCTGTTGCAAAGTTGGTCCTCCCAGTGTATTATATTTGATTCTAAAAAAGGTTTATGGAGACCATGACCTTGCAGCACCAAGGTTGTCCCCAACTAAAATGTAGCTTCAAATTCTACAGGATGAGGTTCTAAAAAAATCAGGCATCAATTTAGTAGAAAACACAGAGATGTTAGACAGAGGGCTGCCTTCTGCTCTCATCAATATGACCGCTCCCTTTCATATATTTAATTATGCTTTCAACACCAAAGTCTCAAGGAACAATGTTACAAGGAAAACAAGACTCATCTCCTATAAGCCACTGATTGACTGGCATTCTAACAAACTGGAGCCACGTAAGCAATTTAGCTTGTACCGCTTTATTGAGAGCAACTAGTATGTTCACTCTTTTTTACTGAGAAGCAACAATTTGCTTGAATCCTGCCAATATTTATTTTCAAAAAGACAACAGGAAATAGCAAAGTGAGGAACAAAGGGAGATCTGGGAAGGCTGCCACAGATGGGAACTCAGCATTGTCTCCTTAGTGTACCAGACACCTACTGATAAGGAAAGTGGAAAAATTCGGGGTGGGGGGGCAGGGGCCTACACTGAACAAATGAGCTGGGGGAAGAAATGCCTGCAGAGACTAACATTATTCACCCCTCCTCTGCTTTCCACCTGGTAGCCCTGCCGATGAGTTCACAGCAAGGGCAATCAGACCAGAAAGCAGGAGGTTGAGCTGGTTTCATGACCATTGATCTGCTCAGTACAAAAGGCAGCAGCTATACTTCCCTTTCTCCACATCCCCCTAAAAATGTCCGAAGTACAAGGTAAATGAGCTCATGAAAACAGACAGCTGTGTGGGAGGTGGGAAATGTTTGGCAGTTGACAGAGGACAGAATGGTAGTTCCAGAGAAAGAAGTGAGTGAGCAAGGGATTCCCCTGGGATTTTGGTGGTATTGGGAAGCCTATCACCAGGAGCCAATAAGAGGGCTTACGGGAACACACATTTCATAGAATCATAAAGTCATAGAATGCTTTGGGCTGGAAGGGACCTTTAAAGGTCATCTAGCCCAACCCCCCTGCCATGAGCAGGGACAGCTTTAACTAGATCAGGCTGCTCAGAGCCCAATCGCACCTGCACTTGAATGTTGCCAGGGATGGCTGACCTTGAATGTTGCCAGGGATGGGGCCTCCACTACCTCTCTGGGCAACCTCTTCCAGTGCCTCACCACCCTCATTGTAAAAAATTTCTTCCTTATGTCCAGTCTAAATCTATTCTTCTTTAGTTTAAATCCATTATTCCTTGTCCTGTCACAACAGGCCTTGCTAAAAAGATTCTCCCCATCCTTCCTGTAGGCCCCCTTTAAGTACTGAAAGGCTGTAATAAGGTCTCCCCACAGCCTTCTCTTCTCCAGGCTGAACAACCCCAAGTCTCTCAGCTTGTCCTCGTAGGAGAGGTGCTCCAACCCTTGGATCATTTTTGTGGCCCTCCTCTGGACATGCTCCAACAGGTCCATGTCCTTCTTGTGCTGAAGGCTCCAGAGCTGGATGCAGTACTCCAGGTGAGAAGTATTAGTTCATTCATATTACTTAATGTGTTTAACCACCAACTTTTAGCCTGTCTGGCCAAATTATTCTGCCTGATTGTGAAAATCAGTCTGTCTACTTTGCTTTTGAATTGAAGTATACAATTATACAGATTGGTTGACAATGCACAGGAGGTTGTAGGAAGTCAGAGCATGGACAACAAAAAGATTAATACACTCATAACAAAACATCCATACCATCACTGCTCTAGAAAGCAAGCCCTTACAAAAAACCCATGCTACAGCACTTGGAACAAGATTTACACCCAGAAAGGAGATTAAGGAGCAAAGGCAGAAAACCTCTCTAAGACAGATTTTCACTAATGAAAGAACTAGAATTCCTATGAACTAAAATTATTGTAATTGTTAGATTAAGCACATTAATTCATACTTCATAGTTTCTGCACACCAAATCTGTGACCTGTCGTCTCTTTTTCTGTTAGCTTACTATAATAAAACTGTCAAGTCCTTTGTTAATAGCTTGCTATAGATAACTACAGAAATGTATTAGGTATAACTGCAGAATTTTTCACAGCTTGGAAAAAATATTGATGCAGGAGAAGTGCCTTACACTATCACTTTTTTCTCCGTTATTGCTAGGAAGGTGGCATTATTAGAAAGCTAATATTTTATCAGTAATATTTAAGTTTTATGGAAATTTTTTATTGCTTTTGTCTCTTAGCAATATGTATCTCCTTTTCTGGACAATACCATGTATTGAAAAGAAACTTGAAAAATCAATGTAATGAAAAACATTCAGATTGTAACCTTCATTTGGTTACACATCCAGTACCTTACAATTAAACAACACAGCATGCTTTCAGTATATTACTTACTGGAGGACCCTTAAGTCCTGGTATCCCTTTCTGTCCTTTTTGACCATTAATGCCTTTTTGTCCCTAAAAAACAAAGTGTACAGAAGAGTTCAGTTAACACACACAAACCATTAGTGTTGGGTTTTTCTCCTTTTGTGAATAATAATAATGTTTACCTGAGGTCCTTTGTATCCTTGTTTTCCTTGCAAGCCATACTGACCAGGGTCTCCACGATTGCCCTGTTTTTAAATGACAACAAATCTTTGTCTTGTTAAGGTTTTCTTATGTGATCTAACAGACACTAACATGTTGGGATTTATTGTATTAAAAAGGCTTATTTTTTTCTTTACATCTTCCTGCTCTGGATAACGTATTTTCTTGCATTTACAGATGTCAAGAAAAATTCCAGAGAATCTATCTAACCAGTCTGATTTCAACATGTTGAGCACTGCAGATCCCGAATGAACTAGTAATCAACACAGCACAAACAATCCAAAGACAGTAGTCCTGAAACCACACAGTGATAATGTTCTTGAAATAAAATCTTGTGTGTGGACAATATGCGAGGCACTAAAAATCATTTAATACTGTAGTCACCGGGAAAGACTTGCTGAGCACTAAAAGCAGCACCTTCTGGTTTCAAAGGCCTAATGCTGAAAATTGATACAAATAAATGAGAAAAGGAATTTTATGTATCTAACAATACTTACATGCAAGCTATAAATACCTAATATTTGCATTTTTATCTGTGCGATATTTTGAACATACTCCTGCAGGTGTTTTAGTGTAATAGCATGAAGCATACACATAAAAGTCCAGATGAGACTCCCGATCAATTAAAAAAAAAGTTTCTCAAACACATCTATTGCAACTACTTTGAATTCTCTTGTTCAAATTCTTGATTAAATTCCTATGTGGAAAAGGGCAGATATAAAAAAAGAATAGTTCTTACCTCTGGTCCCCGTTGTCCCCTTTGTCCTGGTATTCCCTAAAAGAAGGTAAAAAAAAAATGGCTGTCAGGCCAAGTTAGGTATCATCTGAATGCTGTTAAAAGTGTATAACTTGTTGCAATTACTTCATTAAAAATTTTCAGCTGAAAGATAAACAAATGCAAAATTTATGCTTGTTTAAAAAAAATATATAGTTACAAAAACAGGAGTCTAGTTTTGGCCTCCAGTGCCATTCTGGATGTTGCTTAGGAAAATGTATTTTTATTTAACGGTAAGAGTATTGCTACTCACCAAATTAAATATTGCTATCAAAAGTGCATGCAAGGCAGAGGCTAAAAAGCATTCTCCCACTAAATTGAGCCCATGCAAGTTAGGAACTTACCGGGTTGCCTATGCCTCCTGATGAGCCGCTTGAGCCTTCTTGTCCTCTCTCACCCTGCACACAGAAAATTTAATTTCCTTTGCATCACTGCAATTTCTCATTTCTTCTTTTGTCCATTTTTCATGCCAAATTTTTAAGACTGTCAAAAACTGTCTTGTGGGACTTCCCCACAACACCATTCTGTGTCAAAATCTGTCAGTAAATAGCATTGACCACCAAAACCAGCCAGTTACACATCTCTGAATGGGCCTGGCTGATAGCACTAACTAAGAACTGGCAAATACCATTACCACTCTTGTCAGAAAGATTCCTGCAGGCCCTTGTTAAGAGCACAGGGCTGGGAGTTACAGAGTTGGCAGATCCCTGGCCCTGCTTCTAGTCTGCTCTTTGATATTGGGCAAGGTACCTCATTGTTCTGTGCCTCACTTTCTTCCTTTGTTGCACTGAGGATAATGACACAGACTGCTTGTGAGGGCATACTCTTACTGGAAAATATTGCACAAGAGGCAAGCACTGGTACTGTTGTATGACAGCAAAAAATGCTCACCCAGTCTTTTAACTCTCCCTGAAAGCAACGAGGGATAATTTGCAGGTTACTGGCCAAACCTGCAATCAGGAGCAGCAGCAGCAGCATCCATTGCACTGGGACAGAGAGACCTCCTAGGTCTTAGTGTGCACTTGACTGGGCTTCAGTGGTTGGGAAGGAGGAGTTCCCAGGTCCCAGAGCCGATGGCATTCAGTGGCTATCATAAAATCTTCTCTTAAAACTGGAAAATTTAAATGATTTGCACGTTGGAATCAGATCAGGTGTTTGTCATTGCCTTGCAGGTTTGATGCTGGCAGTGATACTCATTCCTTTTCAGTGGTAGTTCTGCTCAAAGAGCTTTCGTATCTTAGTTAGCATCACATTTGATAAGTGATAAGTTCCTATATCCTTAGCAAAGACATATTTAAAATAGTGCAGACAGGAGGAGGACAGTGTATTACTGGTAAGCAGATATCTTACAGAAATTCCACATATTTCTAAACAATTACCTCTTCCCCCTCTTCTCCTGGAAAGCCTCTTACTCCTACTACTGCACTGTTCAGTCCAGGGTTACCCTGAAAAAAAGAAACACCTCCCAGTAAGAATGCTTGCTCTTACAAAATCTGAGATGTTAAATAAACAAGTCAGTCCTTAGCCAATGCATATGATTACTGCCAACATCAGAAGAAGTTCTGTTTAGAGAGAACAGATCAAGGATTTGGTAATACCACTTAAAAACTCTAAACATTCTGCTTTAGAAAAACAATAGAGAGATATACCCATATGAAGGGTTAATAAAAGGCCTATGTATTAGACATGCTACAGTCATTGCAATATCATGTGAACACACTGGAAGAACATCTCATTTTTGCCCTGGTGCACAGGAGACTGTGTAAAAAGTCTTATGAGTACATACATGAAGACAGTCTACATCTAGAAAATAATAATGTACTTGAAAAAACATACAGGATCTCCTCGAAAGCCCTTCTGGCCACGATCACCAGGGGGTCCTCTTAGCCCTGGACTTCCCTGAAAGCAGAACATATCTCAGTAAGAACCTGAAACACTACTTTCATGCAGGAATTGCCAAGGGATATGTCCAAGTTCCAACCTTTCAACCTTCATTTTTAAATAGTCTCACCCACAGTTTCTTCCCCAATTCCACTCCCAAAAAACCAGAAACCTGGGGGCTCTTGGACACAAAGCAATACAGAAACAGCCACTGTGCTCCATGTATTGTTTCATGTTTTGTTTTTTGTTGATTTTTTAACTAAAGAATAAATTCAAATTAATTACTGCAACAAACCAGAAATTGTTCCAAATATCAAAAAACTTTGTTTGTAGACTACATCTTTGAAAGGCGTATGTTAACATACATTTCATGTTTTGAACGTAATGGTGCCTCATCTGTGAATAACCAGAGTCTTCTCAGTAGCAATAAGCCCTGTGCCTCCTTGGGCACTTGTGTAAGGGCAGAAAGGGTAAGAGTGTCTTCTAGAAGTGAGGTACCAAGCAGTTATTTGAGAGTATTGTTTTCTACACTTGAAACAGGTATCCAGTTGCTGCTCCTGCAAGTGCAAACTGTTAATGCACAGCGCTGCACGGTGGCCACCCACCAGCCTGCTATCCCTAATAGCAGCCATTGAATTGTGGAGGTTAACTGTAACCAATCACCCAAATTATCACCTTGGTTCCCACTGAGGATTGTTTTTATTACATGGACTAAGCCAAAATGTTCAGTGTCTACTAGGCTGGGTTTTTTGCTTCACTTAGCCACTCTCCAAATGGTCTCTCATCAGCAAAAAGACAAATGGTCAATTCTCCAACTGTCTATCGAAGCTGCCACAAGGCAGTATCTCTTTTTGTCATTTGGTCTCCTAAGTCAGACCTTGTTTCAGACTGCAAGGTAACTGGAAAGGCAACAGGGCTGCTCCATGCTTTATGAAAAACAAGCTCTCTGATGTTGGCAAACAGATAACAAAAAACCCTCTTGTCTCATGTATGTGAATCTGCCAGGGTACTACAGAGGTAGAAGGCTTCATATCTATCTTTAGCCAAATTAAAATGTCATATGCAGAAATTACTTGATCCCTTAATAAATACCAGAAAATGCCCACCTAGAAGACTGTAAGGTAAGGACCTAATTATTCTTCAAATTCTCTTTCAAATAGAAACATCCTACAGAGCAACATTTTCTGCATATATACCCTATCTACAAAAATACCTGCTGGCTATTCATCAGTAATTTGCTCTTCTTCAGATGCTGGAAGTCCTATAATAAGTCTCCTGATAGGAGTTCAAACAAAAAATGTGCAAATAACTTTGTGGTACAAGGTCTACTCCTTGTGCTTGAGAGTTTATTAAAGACATTTCTACAGGGACAGTTTCACAAAATAGCCATACCATTGTTCTTAAATCCAAACCCTGACCAATAAAAGATAACAAAATCTTACTGGATATCCAATGTCACCCTTCTCTCCTTTCTTTCCAGGAATCCCAGGAGATCCCTTAAAGACAAAATATAGCATATTAATTCATTTCTATCACTCAATAACTTCAAGGTCAAGAAGGCAAAAGAAAGAAAATAATGTACCTCTTCTCCTGTAATTCCATCAGTCCCATCTTCCCCATTGTCACCCTGAAATAATACAAATGTGCATGAATTTTTCACACAACCAACCAGAGCACATTTGCAAACTCCAGCAAGTATATGATGACATAGACCAAGATTTAGAAGAAGAAGAAGAAGAAGAAGAAGAAGAAGAAGAAGAAGAAGAAGAAGAAGAAGAAGAAGGAAAACTAAACACAGGGATTAATGCTTGAAGTTTAATTTGTCGTATGTTCCCCAGGCACAACCATAAGCTGGGCATTGCAGCTAACATCTGCAAAGCAGCCTAAAAAAAATAACATTGACTTAACACTCACTGACATCTCTGCAAAACTTTCTACATCTCCATTTAGTGCAGGACAAAGCTCTAAAGAATATTGCATTCACAAACTCAAACTGTCTAGAGTCATACTGTACCTTTTTTCCAACAAATCCTCGAAACCCCTGAAAAGAAAAAAGATAGCAAATGTTAGAATAACATGTAATAAAAACATTCAAGGATTATTCTAAATCACAATGAAATGGTATTTTCAGAATTTTTGTTTAACCTTTAAACCTCTTTTGCCTGGACACCCCATGTTGCCTTGTCTGCCTTGTGGTCCAGGTGGTCCTCTTGGGCCCTGAAAGAGAGAAAAGAAGAATCCAGTTGTTTAAAGTTATGTGAGGTTTACACAAGCTGGCAGCTAATTTATCTGTTAGAGATATCTGGTCCTGTAGTCCTGGAAAGCCTTCTTCTCAAGACTGTAGCTCCAGTAAAGTCCCTGGTGGACTGCAAATTAAAGGGGTTGCAACAACAGAGAAATGTGCAACTGCAAGATCTTCATAATTCAGTGACCTTCTATGAAAGACCAAACATATTAGCAGTATCCTAGCAAATGTTAAAATATTTTTAATCTCCCTTGCAATAATTTTGACTTCTTTTTAGCCATATGCATTGTTCTGTTAATATTCACATTACACTTACAGTCCTGAGTCTCCAGCTACCATTTTGACAAATCTAACTCCTGTAAAAAAGTATCACTATACTTAAATTTGAAACTACATAGAACTACAGAAATCTCACAGAGCAGAACTGGTATTTGTGGGCCTGGCTGACATGATTTCCATGAAAAATTTCTTCCTGCATAGTGTGATGAAAGTAAAGCAAATACAATGTGATGATGCCATTACACATCTGCAGGCTTGTTTTTGGAGTACTGCATGTTAACATATAAAAAAGCAAGCAGTCTTCCAGAGCAACACCTGCAAACTATTATAAACAGGCTGACAACACCAACAGAAACAGTTACTGCATCCTCCTGATGACAGCTTGGGCCAGGCTCCTCTCTAATATCCATTACACTGCTATGCTACTTCCTTACTGTCACTGTAGTTATTTTTAGTTTCCACTGATGGGTCTTTGCTCATTTAGCAAGTTTGGGTTTTTTTTTTAATTTGAAACAAAAGCTATGTAGATGAAAAATGTTTGCTCTTTTGGGAGCAAACAAACGTATCCATCAAGAGGTGGTCATAGCCTTGCAGTACACTTCCCAGTCTCTTTCCCGTTCATGTTTTTGGTTTCAGCAACCTACCAGCATCAAAAAATATGACACTTAGGTCAAGTCAAGAAGATATGCTTTGGATGGTCTTCAAAAAACACATCTAATTTGGATACAACCAAATATATCTAAAAATGGATGTCTATATCAAAGAGCTGGTCTTGACTGGCCAAAACTGGCTTACTAACAGTTCTTTTGGCAGAAAATGACTGGCTTTGTCTCCATTTGTTTACTTTTAGTTTCCACATACAAGACACTGATTTTTCAATAACAACTCAGGAAAACATGAAAAAAAATGAGGAAAACAAAACCCCACTCTTTGTAGAAGTCTTCTACAGGAATAAAAATAAGTTCCAAAATAGCTTTGCTAAGTAGGCGCCCACTCAACCACATACATGAGCTAATCAGGTGGTTGTAATGTGTGTCCTTTATATCCCAAGAAATGTTACTGAACATTTTACGATCTTGTTTGTGTTTTATTCAAATGATGTGAGGGTGTTCTCACCTTGGAAAGGTAATAGAGCTTTGTAAATCCACTATCCAACTAGTTTAGATGCTCTTTTTTTTTCCTGCTCAAAAGTTTTAGTTTTCCCAAACACAGGTTTTTAAAGTGTTATAACTTACCAGTTCTCCTTCATCTCCAAGATATCCCAGGTTGCCTTTAACACCATTGTGTCCCTGAAGTTAAAAGATGAAAGATAATGCTATAATACTTGGTTGACCTTCAGAAACTATTGGGGAATTCTGGAAAAACTCAATGGGCCATTATGTTGTTCTTTGCCTATTCTGTCCCTCTGCTTACTCTGGGCTTCAAACACTGTTGAAAACTTGAATAACAGACAACTTCTTTCCTGATAGTTTTTCTCCTAATGTTTAATTCATCACTAATGCATTATTTGTCCCGCATTTAAATTTGAAGGTGGCCCAATATTTTTATCAGATGCTCCAGAAAGAAACAATTTTCTTTCACTGCAGGCCCCAGGAAAAGCTCTTCCAAAGTTTTAAAGTGTCTCCAGCAACTAATTATACATTTCAAGACAACATTGAGATATACCTTAATTACTGAATCTTTAAAAGCTGATTGATAGGAAGAAAAAGAAAATCCTGTACAAGATTCATAATCTGTCATACATAAATGCTTATTTTGCATTTTTATGAAGAATGTTTCATTGGCTTGGGTAGAAAACAAGTGTCATTGGCTTCTTCTGCTTCAAATAGTTTCTTCTTGAATGTCTTTTGTATCAATAGTAGTCAGCCAATTGCTCTTCTGTCTTTGCTGGTGAGGGGGTTTGGACTAGATGATCTTCAAAGGAACCTTCCAACCCAAACCATTCTATGATTCCATGATTGGAGATTCTCCACACTGGCATGAGACTGATTGCTTTAATGGCTCCACATTTGTCAGTCTGGATGAGCCAGAAAGTATGTCGAGGATGACCACAGAGCAATTGCCACTCATAGGATAAAGCATGCCTTCTCCAAGCCATTACTTTTGACATAAGCCAAACTAAGGATTTGACCCAAGAGAGTCTGGTACCTGCCCTTGTAAGAAAGGAATGTACTTTAAAAAATAAGCCCCAAATAGATGTTAGCCAGGAAATACTTCTGAACAGATATGGCAGAGATTTTAGAGCTTCTATGCAGAGTCCGTCCTTGTGTGGTCCAAGCAGGTTTTTAGAAGTCGATCTCTTTTCAGACTATATTCTTTATAACCACAAAAGTTACAAAATTTCTTAAAGTTTCTGATTTAATGTTGTCCTTTCATATGATTTTTTATTCTAGTACAATTATTTTTGAAAGAGTTCATGTAACATATCTTTATGTAAGAGTTGAGAGTGCACTGTTCACCCTGGTTTGGAGCCCAGGAAGAAAGAGGGACACTAGCAAACAAATAAGTTGTGGGGATTGTATCTTAAAATGTGTATGATTGATGAGAACTGTTTTAGGAGAAATCTAACCATCAAAACAAACCATTCTGAATCCAAGGAGGACATTTCCGTTGTCCTGTGATTCCACACAGATGAAAGCTGCACCAGAAACAGCTGTCCTGGGCTTTGAGTCTCAGCACAGGCTTAACAGTGCTCCTAATGTTTCAGTATTAAATGAGCCTTGTGTAGAACAGAGGATGAGAGAACATTCTTTCAATCTCTCATTGTCCTTCCTTTGTGCAAAAAAAGATTCATAGGCCAAAAAGAAGCTCCTTCCTGAATTCAGAGGCCTCTTTTGCAACAGGGTAATGTCTGGAGAGTGAAAATCTAGCCTGGCACAACAGCCATTATACTGAATTCTGAGGTAGGGCTTCGTGTGAGTGGCTGTTTTCTTCTGTGTGCCTGGAGTATGCTACCAGGAAGGGGAAGCTGCTGACCTTGGCACAATATTTTGAGAGAGACTTTTGGAAAGTGAAAAGTCTTCATATATGCTCTTTCCTGAGAGAGAGAAGGCTAAGAAGAGAGAGTGTCCGACCCCCCAAATTTTACCCCCCTTAGTCATCAGCACTGCAAAGTGCTACCCTGCAAGGGGTTGCTTTGAACTTTGTCTTTCAGACAGTTTGTTCAGCTCTTCTTGCTGACCCGCAAGGTAATAGCATCAGGCTGGGCAAGAGGCCTTCCCAGAGGTAAAAGACATCACTGAATACTGATTACATTCACCAGCAGCATTGCATTCACTTGCAGAATCATTTTTGTGCATTGCACTCATCAGTAGCTGTGGCAAAGGCAGTAAGTACCACCTGCAGGTGGGGGCCCCAAGGTGTGATTTTTTTCCACATGCAGCCCATCATTATTTACAACTCAAACTTAGCAATACAAAGCTAGAATGTATTCTTACCTTCATCCCTTGTCTTCCCCTATCGCCGATTTCACCTTCTTCCCCAGTACATTTGCAAGACAAACAGCAGCAGGTCCTCTCAGCAATATTGTTCTTAAAAAGAAGAAGTTACTGCAGATGAAAATGTATTTTCCAAAAATTTTCTCATGGCTCTGCTCCTGCTCTTACTGAAGCATTCACCATAAGAATACAACTGGACATTATGCTCTATTAATAGCATGACTCCTTTGTTAGTCATATTTACCAGACTTGATACTTACGGTCTGATTGTGCAGTTCTCTTACCCAAGATCTTACTGTGTACATTGGTTCCTTATCAAATAACTTACCAAGAACTTGGATAGCCTGCTAGCGATATCTGTCATGCCAATATCTAAGCGAGTTCCATATTCAAATCCTTTTCCAAACTCAATAGATTGGAGGTTTTGAAAATTGGAGGTTCCTTCCAGAGAAACAGTTATAAGAGCATCCAAACCTAATTGTAGTAAATATGAATATAAATATCAGTTCCACAGAAAAACGGTTTCTGTACCTTATATATACATGCATCATGAAGAAGGTGAATAATATATATTAGAAATGCCAGCTGTAAAAGCCACACTTTTGATGGTATACAATTCTGTAAGTGATTTAAATGAGGTGCTAGTGACAATGAAGAGCCAATAAAAGGATCAACATAAAAATCTTCCTATTTGAATAATGATTAATGATTCAAGACCACATGGTTGATTTGGGTGTCAACATAAATATTCATTTAATCATTTAGCTCTTAGGAAAAACAGAAGCTTTAGGTTGCACTTCTTTTTACATTAAAATAATAATAAATATTGGTGGCTCCAAGTCATCATTCCATCTGCTACAATAGCGATCTAAAGCTGAGGTAGACATCAGAGAAATTACAGATCTGAATTCTTTGTTTCTCCAACCCAGTCTTGCTGTAAGAATGCATGTCTTTACATTGATCTAGAAAGACACCAGTGTGAAATTAGAGTAAGCCTGTGGCCACAACACAATTTCTTAGGTTGCAAAGCAAGAGGCAAAGAGATATCATGTGCAGTAACATCCTAGAGTACTCCCCTTGAACTCAGATCATTCAGAGAAAAAACAGAGAAAAGACTATTTCCCTGTGCAAGGGAAAAAAGCACAGTGAGGAAACAATTCAGGGCAAAATACAGGTATATTGGGATTGCAGGGTGAGACTTAAGGAAGGAGCCAAATGCTGGTCACAGCAACAGCAACAAGCAGTACTTTTCCAGCTTTCTGGCTTGGTCCTGAGTCCCTTTTATACAGTTGTACAACACAGCTGGCAATTTCAGCAGATTCAAATCCAAACAAAAGTTCATACTCTGATGTAAATTCCCGGAATCTAGCAGACAGACTCTTGACTCACTTGAACAGAGATGAGAGCAGTCTCTAGCTGAATGATGCTCCAAAGCCCCAGCAAATGAAATTGAAAAACAACAGAAACAAACAAAACCCACCCAAACCTAAGACCAAAGATATTTTAAAATTTATTTTAAAACTCAATCCCAAATCACACTTCTGTACCTAATTTGCTTATTGATGCAACACAACTGACCAACAATGCACAACACCTCAAGGAAAACAGTCTTTGGTACAGCTGAGCAAGCTGTTAGGCATATTTATCTATCTTCTCATCTTTCCCATGTGGCTGCCATGGTGTCAAAAGAAGCCTCATGTTCTCCCCATTATTACTGCTCTGCAGTTAATAGCATCTTTGCTAAGAGGACTGTTATGCTCCATTTTACTGCCTGCACTTGTCACCCTTGTACTCCACTATAGCTCTTCTTGCCACTTGCCTGCTGTTCAGAACAGGTAATTCTTTGCAAGGTTGTTGTTGGGAAGAGAGAGAGACAATAGACATGAGACAACAGACGTCTGTTTGGGATGAGGGACAAGCACACACCAAAGGGCCTAGTACCAGTTGAGAAGCCCCTTGCATCTCCCTTTAGCAAATCTAGCCCTTTCAACTCCAGTTCTGTTCTTCACTGTTTCTTGCATGACAGTCTCCTGCACGCATCAGAAAGGCTAAGCCTGTGGCAGCTTCTCTATTCCTCCTGCCCTACCTCTCTGACGCTGGGCTCTGAAATCAGGTGCTGATGCAGATACTGAAGCCTACAGGGGAGGCGTGAAGATAACTACTCAATCTATCTTCTCCCCACTCTGCTAGGTTTCTGGGTGATAACAGATAGCAAGGACAAGGCAGATTGATTGGTGAAACACAATAGGTGTGTGGCTGTGGGAAAGTTAGTTAAACATTGTAAGAAAGATTGTTCCAGGTCATAAAATCTCTGAATGGGGAAGTCACCCCAAAGAAGCACTACTGTTTCCTTAGCCCCATTATTAGGTGTTTTCTGAAACATCCACTACTGGCCATAGACAAAGATAAGGGCCAAGCTAGGAAGACAGTCTTACCTGGCATTGTCAATCTCACTTCAATGGAGCTATTCTGATTTATGTTGACTGGGCATCTGAGACTATAACTCCTTTTATTTGCTGCTAATCTCCCTCTGCTCCTTCTGCAGAAAAAATTAAATACCTCTTCTCACCCCACTACTAGGGCACCTGAGAAATGAAACAATCTGACTTTTCTAAAATAGATACCTTTCTCTTTAAGTTCTTCAGATTTTTGTTCAAGTGCTTCTAAGTCATCATCCACACCATCTGAAAATACAAGTAATACCTACAAAGACATAAAAGAGAGAATTTAAATCACACAGAAACCAAGAACAATTGTATTTCAATCTTTCTTACACAATTTTGACCAAAGGATTTTGCCTAAGTCATCACATTACCTTTTGTCGGGTCTCATCCTTGTTTGGAAATGTTTCCCAGAGTGACTGCAAAAATTCAACATTAAGTTGGGATGGTCTCTTGATCACAGCATCTGACAAGTTACGCAGGACAGATTCACTGTCAATATAGAACTTTGTGGATATTGGAGTAACAGTATTCTTCACTTGAACAGCCACGCTGCTCTGTGCCTGGGACCCAACATTGCAGCTCACGTCCCTTAGAGACAGGAGGGCTTGCAAAATCTCAGGGAAATGCTTTTCCAGTTTGGTCTGTCCATGAAAAAAGTGGTGGCCTTCTCTCTGTGATGAGATGTCAAATCCCACAGTGATATCCACAAGACAAGCTACTGTTGGGAAAATCATAAATAAATGCATCAAACAATTTTCATTTCAGGTAAAGAAAAACACAAAAGAAAAAACACGACAAGGGGAGACCAATGCACATCAGCAAAGTAGGCAGGAGCCTCTGGAATCTGTCATCTCCAAGCCTCAGGGAGATTATCTAAAATGAATCTTTAGGTCTCTGATTCATTTAGACACACGTTCATCTTAAACCCACTGAGACAGATTTTTAATTTCTAGAGAAAAATTGTGGAAATGAAAAGCACATTGGATAGATAAAGCTGTCAAAAATCCCTAAATGCCTTTAACTGAAAATGTGTTCTGTAATTATCCTTATATAACAAATCTGAGACCCCATCCTTCTTAATAGCAACATCAGCTTCAGAAATTATTTCACTGGAGGTACTTCTCCATTCAGACGTTTTTGGCCCTTCCTTCCTCTTATTTCCCAGCTACAGGCAATTGAGCAGGTATCATTTAGAAGGTCAGGCGGCTGTTTGTTTTCAACATGTTGTGCTGGAGAGTTAACACATAACTGCTGTAGTAGTCTCATTACTTTAAAAGTAATGCTATGCCTAATGTTTAAGATTTGGGTCAATACCAAATCACTTCCCTTCTGTGCTCCTCATCATGCTTTTTACCTGTGCTTGCACATTCATTGTGGCATGCACTGCTCTGCATAGTTAGCAGACAGAGCAGGGGCCCCCAACTCTCAATATGCATTTTAGCATAATTTCTCACTGCATGTGAGGTGATGGGAAAATCAGAAGTGAAATGAAAGCACATGCCACAAAATGAGAAGTACTGCCACCGTGTCCCTTGTTTAACTAGATGTAAGGTCACTCTAATCTGTAGGATGACTGAGTTGCTGCGTGGGTATTCTATGAGATTAATGTCTTTCTCGTACTATTTCTGTCTGCAACTCAGGAGAGGAGGAAATACACATTTTTAAGAAGTACACCTCTTGCTAGTAGTACTTTATTTCTGCTCTGCAATAGTTGTAACTGCTTCCAACTTTCTTAAATTAGTGTTTGGGTGATATGGCATCACAGTTGCTGTTAACCCAGAAGCAAAACATATTTGAAAGTGCTAAAGCTGTCCTTCGAGTAAGGAAGCAGGAGAAAATTATACACTCTAAAGCTCAGATAGAAGTTTAAACAATTAAACCTAAAATCTTCAAGCCTGGGTTGTGTGATCTTAATCAATCAGTTCAAATTTGCAGAAATGAGAACATAAATGCATGGATAAGTTAACGAGGAGTACAGTAGGGTGTGAGCTTGCAGAAAAATTAGTGAATTCACAGCAACTGCTCACGTGTGTCTTTTTACCCTTCCTGAAGGGGAGAAAATGGGAACTACCTTACGTACCAGGGAAGAAGAGTATTTGCATGGGCAGCAAGGGAGAAGCTAACACAATGCAAACTGACATGGGTGGTTATTTGTTTGTCATCTCATATCCTTTATTCTATGGAGGGAGCAAAGAGAAAACATCTAGGTCATTTCTTTCAGCAATTTTAGAGGGACTGGATGTAGCTAATTATTTCCACAGAGATCATTATCTTCATGTGAGTCAGAAGAATTTTTCTATTCTGTTTTTAGAGTGTTGCAGAAGATCAACCAAATGTATTCTAAAGAACCACTCTAACTGGAAAGCATACTTAAAGCAGCACACAGAGATTTTAGAACAGTTTGGTTCAGAGATGTTTACCTTTTCTATTATCATCCTCACACATAATATCAACCAGTCTTTTTTTTATGGTCTTCAAGTTAGAAAAGTCATCAACGGCATATTTCCTACTTGATGATCCAGTTATCTGTGTTAGGTGGGACTGATCAACATTTCCCACGCCTATGGCGTATATATCAACACCTTTCTTCCTCAGGCTTTCTGCTGCTCTTGCAGCTCTACTGGTTGTTCGTCCAGCAATGATTACCAGTAAAATCTGTTGGATATTTTCATGTATTCTGCTGCCGTTTTCTGGTTGGAAGTTGAGTTTCACTTTCTCAAGTGCATTTTCAATATTACTTCGGTGTCCTCTCATTTGTTTGACGCTTTGAATTTTAAATTCTAGTTCTGATCTGTTCGGAAAAATGCCTAGTTTGAACTCTTCTTTATAGACACCACCATACAGTGCAAAGCCAATTTTGGTATTTTGAGCAGTAACAGCTGGATTGATTACATTTGTCACAAAGTCCTTCATTATCCTGAAGTTTTCTTCATCTATGTTTCTGGAACCATCTATTAGGAACATGATGTCTGCTTTCTTTGGACATTCTGCAGAAGATAAAGGAAAATATATTATTAATAAAGTACACAATTCTATGTCTATCATTAGTAATCCTGCCTCTGCCTCCCACATCCTACTAGTTATATTGACAAAAAAAACCCCAACAAATAGATCTACAAAAAGAAAGTTAAGCACATAAAATGTTATGTACACAGAAATTCAGACATCTAGTCCCAGAACACAAAACATACTCCTGTAAGCACGTATGTTGCAGAGTAAACATAGGTACATTACCCTCTTACCTACTGAGCAAACAAAGTTATGTTGGCCTAACCAAATGTTCACAGGGCAAGGGCACGTTTAATCTCAGCCTCATGCAAATGCCTAAAGAGGTCAGGTGCCTCACACACCAAAAATGCCTATTTCTCTCCATGCTGCTTAGAAAGGGAAACTACAGTGACTAGATATGACACCTATACACAGCTAAAACTAAGTAAGATAAATCCCATCCTCTGTGTATATACAAAATTGAGACTCTTCGGGATTCATAGATGAGGTGTCTCCCCTGTCCAAGAACCAAGTTGCTCTCAGCATGCTTTCCATAGCCCAAAAGGACCGACTTCCAAATAAAGTAGAGCAGCCACAGCTACTTCCATTCAGAAAGATGGCAGAAGGAGAAGGTAGGAAAGAGTAGCCACTACAGGAGCTGAACCGAACAAGCAGGGAACAGAGATGACTGTAATTTAAATCACGTTAATCAGAACAGATTATGTTATCTGTATCGATCTGATGTCTTTGCAAGACTTCCTTTCAAACGCAGTTGTAGGGGAAGAGGAAACTGAACACAAAAACCAGTAGTGAGTATACACTTACCTGGTACTGAAATATCACATATGTTATTTGTTATATTTGCAGTTAAGTTCTGAAGTCCTTCAAAGGTATCCACATAGAAACATTTGTCCTCTGATCCAGCCATTGTCAGAAGCTCACTTCGACTTGCTCCTTTTACGCCAACTGCGTAGATGGTAATTCCTTTGTTCCTTAATCCCTGGGCCACACCATCCAGATGATTTCTATCATGGGAATCCCCATCAGTTATCACTACTAGGACTTGGGGAACTCCTTTGCTCTTGCGGCTGCCATGTTCTTCAGTGAACAACATTTCTGAATGGACCAGGGCCTTTGCCGTGTAAGTTGATTGTCCTAGAAGGGTATCTCGCTGGATAGTCTCATTAATCTCCTGTTTTGTAGTATAGTTATTGAGGTAGAAGAGCACTACTGGATCATCAGAATATTTTAGTGCTCCAAACTGAACTCCATCTGGGCCGACATCAGATTGTTTCACCAGGGCAATCATGAAGTCTTTCATGGCCTGGTACTGTAAGTAGTTTATGCTTCCAGAGCTGTCTATAACAAACACAATGTCTAAACGTTCTATTCTTCTGCATTCTGTAAAAGAAAATTGACAAAAGTGAAGATTTAATGTGTAAAATTATGCAGAATCTTACTGATTATTATAACTCAAGTCCATTTCCCAGTTCTTTGCAATGTCTGTATAACTTTGCTAACTGAATGGTGTTTGCACAGATACCTGTTTTGTTACTATCAGCAAGTTGCACATATGACAGATTCTTGTTGCTTGTGAGACTGTTCGGTGTGAACTTCATGATTCCAGTAATCAGAGCAGAGTTAGACTAAACTGAATGTCATCTTAGTTAGCAAAAATGCTATCCTTTTGCTCTGGACACCACAGTACAGGGCTTATAGAGCAAACAGAAATTGTCATATTTCAGTTGATATTGTGGAACTGTTTGTATTAGCTTACAATATCTAAAGCTATCCTTACACAGGATATGAATATTAACTGAAATTTTCCCCTTCTTGCATACAGCACATTTTGTCCGTTAATATTTAACATCTAGCAGAAAAAATCAAGAAGTTTATTTCACATCTGAATTAAATATAGCAGTGGGCTTGCCTCCTACAGTCTCAGTGTTGTAAATTGTTGCTTTGAGGAGCTGGGCTAACACCCTTCCTCCAGCTTACTCCCTGGTGGGAGAACAGTCTGGTCCCTCTGAATGGCCATGTTCTCCCAGTTGCAGACATACAGAGCAGCACAGGTGATAGCTGCTGACTCATTATATTTCAAGCTTCCCTGTTTACACCTGATCTTTCTCATTACATAAGCTACTGATGCCTTTTCCAAAATTGCTGAGAAGAAAAAATGATGCTTAGCATCTTGGCTAATTGCAGTAGTACTTAAAAACTCTTGTTAGTTACAAGTTCTGTATTGCAGTAGCGCAAAGACATAGCCACATGTCTGAACATTGACTGTTTGGACCTCTTGGGATTCTGAACAAATCATGCTTGCATGCCTTAAGCTTTGCTCTTGTCCCCACTCTGCCCCCTGCCCCTGCTGCCTCACCCCTAGGTGAAGGGAGTTTTGAAAGCTCAGAAACTGGATGCTGGGTAGACTTCAGTGCTGAACTCAACAGTTAGGTCCACCTCTTTTAAATGAATGCAATTTCCATGACTGAAGCACCAACTCTGAATGTGAGTTTTAGCAAGCTACTCTATGTTCTATGTTCATACAGCAGAGAGAGCGAGCAAAAAGCACACACCATTTAAAGTCTTTTGCAGTGTCACAGCAATACAGCACGCCTTAGTGCAGCTGAGTCAGACAATGCATAGCTGCTACTCAAGTGTTTTTTAAAATCCTGTCTCATGTTTGCAAGCCTGGTTGACATCCACGAGAGCCCACAGCAACAGGAAACCCCATCTGCTTCTTTTTGCAGCCTGACCACTTTCCCCATTTACACCCTTAGCTAAAGTTATCATCCCAAGAAAAAAACAATCCAGTTCACTTAGTTGGCCAAGTCTGTAAAGTTTATAAATACTGTATGCAAGCTTGCCTGCCAGTGTGGTTTAATATGACTACATTAATTTAATCTGCATAGGGGAAAAAAAAAATTAGTTAAATAAGAGAATGGCTTGAATTCTTAATTGGTTTTGTCCAGAAAGGACAACATCAGGGAACACAGACGAATAACAAATTTCAAGTGGGATTACAAATGTACTCTTGCCAAAGACACTGATTGCACTCTAGTTGCCTCTGGCCCCTGAGAACCGCATTCAGTGCCAGTGTGGGCCCTTCCAACACTGCTACTCAGAAAAAATGAGACTGAGTCATCAGCAGCTCCCTTTCTTGCCCCTGTGTGGAGTCCGCAGAAATAGCAGCTGAAAGGCGTGCATAACGAGATGGCAGTTAGACTTCAAAGGAAGGAGTGAGTGAAGCCTTTTCTCTGTAAGTTTTATTCACCCTGTGTAAACACCCATACTTTTCCACGCAGGTGTCTAATCTCGCACACCCAAGGGAAAGAATCAGAGGCACCCGTGCTTAGCTAGACCTCCAGAGTGTGAACAGAGAGTGGTCAGAGCCCTGTGACCCAGAGTGGTACCCTAGGAGACCTGTGAAGTGCCCCCCTCAGAGACAGAACAGTGGGAAACAGAGAATTTGCATGGGACAAACTAATACTAGGACAGAGAGGCAGCCAGCTCTGTGACTGCAACACTTGATCATAACAAGTTCAGAACAAAAACCCCATGACTGCTCATGCATTAATAAATCACTCGGAGTTACCATACTTACTATCATCAGGAGGACTACTGCAAATCTGAAAAATGAGGTCGCTTTTTCTCTGGTTTAGAATATCAAAGTTTTCAACATAGAATACCATCTCACGCTTCCCACTAATCTCTTCAAGCTGAGTTTTGTTTGCGTTAAAAACTCCAACAGAGTAGATAAGAATGCCTTTATCTCGGAGTACTGTGGCAGGGACTTTAACTTCATCTTGCGATTCCCCATCTGTGATCAGGATGAGAACTTTTTTAACTGCGTGACGTGAACCACTGCTGGCTTGAAAGTATTTAAGCATGAACTTCAGTGCTTCTCCTGTCAGTGTGGAGGATTGAAGGGGAGATATCCTATCAATAGCACTGAGGATATCTCTTTTGGTGGAGTAGGTGTTGAGCTTGAACTCTTCCTTTGGTTTGTCACTGAATTGGACAACACCAATCTGCACTCTGTCTGCACCAACATCTGTTCCATTCACCAGCTGTCTCATGAAGTTTTTCATTTTCAGAAAATCCTCATTTCTAATACTTCCAGAACTGTCCACTAAAAACATGATATCAGCTTTCATTTCTTTGCAGACTGTCAAGGAAAAAAAGATATTTAGGCTTAGGGTTTTTAAAATTTTTTTGAGAAAAAACATAAACAGGTTAGACAGAATAACCTCATAAACAGAAAAGACAGGAAAAAAAAATCAGCATAAGCCTTTTCAAACTTTAGATTTTATTATTTCATTGATAAGTTATGACTGTGACTAAAATGCCCCCTCAGATCTGAACAAGGGCATCATTAACTTAAACAGTTGCAATTCAGTCAGCATTAAATCACAGCTAAGCAACTGAAGCAGCGTCTTAAGATCAGCAAGGAATTTCTGAAATAAAAATCTATAGCATGTTGCTGGTCAAGTTTTGGAGCCTGAGAAACCTGAAAATTTTCTCTTCATTTCAGTGAGGTAGGAAACAGCAACTTGTTTTACAGAAAAAGGTGAGCCAAACAATAGGTAGGGACAAATGGACAGCCTGCACACTAGTGGGTCACATTTAAGCACATTTTTTTCATTAATGTTTTATAGGGTTGTAAGAAATAAACCAGGGATGAAGGTATTAGTGCAACACAACCTTTTCTGCTGACTGCTAGCCAAAAAGCTACTGTTTAGAGAATACTTATTTCTACACCATTACTTTAAATTGTAAAACTGTCTTATTTTAACTTCTGCACATCTCAATTCTAGAATCCTCTTTGAGGGATATGCTGTGCCTATCTACACCTGATAAAAGAGACTGGCTTGTCTGAGATAAGGAAAACAGCAGGCTCAACAGCTAGCTTTAAGAAAGATATGTTCAAAATTAGGTACATTCACGGACCTAGTCATTCTACAGTGATATGTGATTTTGGGTGCCTTTGACATTGGTAGGTTGATTTTATAGAATCATGGAATCATAGAATGGTTTGGGTTGGAAGGGACCTTTAAAGATCATCTAGTCTAACATCTTTCACTAGATCATGTTGCTCAAAGCCCTGAGCACTTCAAAAGATGGGGCATCCACAACTTCTCTGGGCAAGCAGAGAATAAAGTTTGTAATATACAGGCAAGAGATGCTTGGTGTTTTCTGGAAATAAGACCTTTTCATGATATTGGCCAACATTTAATCTACACAAAAATCACCATCACCCTCTGAAAATTTCAACTGACTGGCAGTGAAATTGTTCAAGCTAGAGAAATGGTATCTTACATTATTCATGAAATAATTTCTCTATCAAATCAAAAGGAATCTGTTTATTTTCTGTGTTGTCAAGGCAAAGTGAAAGCATGGTCTTACCTTCTGTGGTACAGATCTCTCGGACAACTTCATTTTTAATGTCTTTCAGCAAGCTAAAATCATGTACAAAGTACACTCTGTTTTTCACTCCTGCAATCTCATAAAGCTGAGTTTTATTAGCTTCCTTCACACCAATGACATAAATGTTAATCAGGTCTTCCCTGAGTTTCATGGCTGGTTCCTTCACACTGTCCTGTGACTCTCCGTCTGTGAGAACAACTAGATGGCAAGGCACTGTAACTCCTCGCTGCCTCCTGGCCTCTTCAAACAATGGCTTCATGTAACTTAGAGCTCCCCCTGTACTGGTATTTCCACCTACTTGCCGAATGTTTTCAATCCCTTTTATCAAATCACTTGCTGAAGTGTATTTATTAAGTTCAAACTCCAGTTCATTGAAATGGGAGAACTGCACGAGTCCAAATCGAACTTTCTTTGTTCCGATGTCAAACAGCGTAATAATTTCCTTCAAAAAATTCTTCATATCGACAAAATCCGAGTAGTCAACACTTGACGAGCCATCAATGAGCAAATAAATATCAGCTTCTTCTGTGTCCAGGCATCCTATGCAGAATGAGAAAGTCTCCATTACATCACTGTTGTGCACATGGACAGATCACCTATCTCCACTCCTTTTGTAATACATAATAAACTAATACATGGATAAACTCTCCATCTGGTAACAAAAAAGTTGGCAGACTTAATCTGCTAGTTCTCTTAGGCATGGCAGCAAGAAACAAAACACTTCATCCATGGCTATATGACTGCTTTCCCCACAGAATACAAAACTGATAGCTTGGAGTTTTCAAACACATCTGAAATGCTTTTAAGCAACTACCTCCAGCAATTCCCAGACTTCTGAGTACAACTTATATCAACAATCAGAATTGATCATGCATCATTACACAGCCATGTTAAACATTCAACCACTGTGACTGGTTTTACCGTTGAATAAGGTTCCATGGACCAGCAGCAGTCCACTTAACGTTCTGATAGTTCACAGCAGGAAACCACTGACTTTTAGTGCTCTCAGGCATAAATCCACTGGTAATTTTTAATAAAATATCTAAGGCTGCTCTATTGTTATTACTGCTTCTAGACCAGTCTGAAACCTTCAGCCACTTCATTTTGCTGGGACATACACCCTGATGACTTAAGATCTGCCCAAAAACCCATGATGTACACATTCCCGTCTATTATCTAGGTTTGATCAAAATAAAGGGTAGACTGACTGGAAGGTTAACATTCCTAGGGAAATCTCATTCAGATGCAGCATCTTCCAACAGATCAAGCTCTAATGGTGCCTTAGTAGGTTTTTAGCTTACTCTCTAACAGAAACAGTTAATGTTTCTTCCAGTATTAGTCCTTCCTATTAAATAATGGTACAAATAAAGTCTTCAGTTAAAACCCCTTAACCTGGAAAGAACCAAAGTTATTTGGAAAGCTTTACCTGTTTTGAGAATCTCTCTTCTTTCAGAGTGGACATAGAGCTTGTTTTGTATTTCATTTAAGAGCTTCTTTTGAAACGTCGTACTTTGCCTTTGCAGATCAGAAAACACCTTGAGACGGGTAACATACTGCTCTTGAGGATAAGAAGCTATCTGGACCAGCTGTTGATCAGAAGCATCTCCAACACCTGTGGCAAACACTGTCACGCCACTTCTCCGCAGAAGAGTAGCAACATCAGTCACATTGTCTTGAGAGGGTCTGTGGGTAAGAAGAAAAGCTATTTGCTCTACCCCTTGCTTCCTTCTGCTCCCAGCACTTTCAGTAAAGAGTTTTAGCCTTGTGACATTAATAGCTGCACCAGTGTTGGCTTCTCCTGACCCAGCAGAAAGGTCCTGTATTATCTTCAGAATTTCAGCTTTGTTTGTATCTGTGTTCAGATGAGACACCACTTCTTGTCCGTCAGCGTACGTCACCAGTCCAATTCTTATGCATTTCTCATTCACATGAAATGAGGATGTTAGGTTTTGCAGGAATTTTTTTAATTCTTCAAAGTTTGACTTTGAAGTACCATGATCAACTATAAACACAATGTCAGCAACCAAGTGTCCATCACATACTGCAGTGGAAAAAGGATGAGAATAAAGCAATGTTAGTGGCCATCTTCTATGCTATCTCTATAATTAACTAACTTTGGACTGTTGGGGTTTTTTTTTAAGACAAGGTTTTCTGCTTTATTTTAAAGTAAAACAAGTTTGTAAAAAAGTTTTTTAGCCAAAGATGACAAGCTACCAAAAGACAAACTGATAAAACCTCATTTTAAGTTAAAATAAATGACCAAAAGATCAGAAAAGCTAGGAGATATAACAACAGAAGTGTTTACGGTATTTATATGAAGCATATTCTTGTAACTTCAACTCTTACCTGTATTTTCTAGTGTATTGATCCAGAAGATACATATGTAAGGATATTGGTTGGACCATGCATGCTAAAAATCTTCAAGTACAGGGTTTTTTATTTATTTTTTAATCACTCATCTGATATATATAAGAAAAATCTCAATACACAAACCTATTTTCAATGCTACATGAAAAGTATAAGTTTCTCAGCTGTACCATTAATGATTTGATAATAGAGAGTCTAATATAAGTCCTTTAATTCACACTTGCCAAAGGTCCTCAAAGACTATTCATTAATTTACTAATTCTGGAGGGTTCATAGTGTCATAAGGAGTTGTATTTCATTAACAGATACTAGTTGTATCAATTACCAATTAGTAAAAGCAAAAAAAGATTACTTCACCTCCATTCCTTTTAGTATCAGAGAGTACAAGTGCCTCACACACACCTACACATGTAAAAGCACGAAGTTTTAAGAATAATGCCAAGCGCAAAACTTCATGGGCACAAGAGTATGTCCATCTCATCCATATTCTTACTTCCCTATTTTAAAACATGCTAAGGCTAGGCCAGGTATTTAAAACCCTGGCTAACACATTCCTACTTGTTTTTTTTAGCAGCCTGTGCATCTTGAACATTACACAATTTGCTGGACATGAGAAGGTACATGAGGCCTAGAGTGGCTAGCATCAGACTGAAGGTCTAAGTTCTTAAATGTCATCTCCCATATTATTGATTTTCTTACCTTCTTCTTCTTCAATGCTATCTATTTGGAACTCCTCAATAATAATGGAGACATTTTTAGAAAACATAGGGAGGTCCCATTCCTTACGAAAATAATAATAGAATGATTGTGTAGCCATCAATCTCAGTTGTGGAATCGCAGCTTCACGTACCCCGAGGGCTATCACTTTTACTCCATTGTCTTGTAACATTTTCGCTGACTCTTCCACATCATCTTCAGAAGGCAAAGAAGACAGGACCACTAAAACCTGATTTCTATCTGCTCCATTAACTGGTTCTTTGAAATACTTTTCATAAATGTAACGAAGGGCATTGCCAGTTTTGAGTGGCCCGCCTTGAAGTGCTTGCATTTCTTGCACATGCATCAACATCTGCTTCTTTGTTTTATATGTGTCCAGTTCAAACTCTTCATGAACATCATCATCGTACTGGGCAAGTGCAAGACGGTATTGGTTAGATTCCAGCGGCAGATCATATATCAATTTGCTAGTAAAGTCTTTCATGTAAGGAAATATGTAATTTTCCGTGTCCCGTTGGCCAGGAAGCAGCAGGACTATATCTGTACTATCTGCAGAGGCCACACAAAAACATAGCATTAAGAATTTTTAACTAGGATTCCAGATACAAAGAACACAATGTTGAGGCAATAAAGTGACATAGTGCTCATTCAGCAATAGTCCAGGAGTGGAAATAGAAAAGCTTAAACAGTTTCTATACCTAGAAGCTGGTCTACATAATTTTACTTTTTAAAAGCCTTTTCACTGTTAGAACATTCAACGAATGGGGTTCAAGACAAATGCTGACTTGCCCAACTTCTGAAATACTTGCTGGCTTTAACAGAGGCTGCCGCATCCGTGATTCCTCAAGATCAGACTGTAACTTCATTTTGAGGAAACACTGAGATCTTACATTTCTTATTAAGGAAATGAATTCTTTACATTACTCCTAGTAAAGAAAATGCTTTCAAGTATTCAATTTCTTTCAGAATTTGAATTCTTGAAAACAATTTCTTTCCTGTGTCTTCTTTCAGTTACAAATATCAAGGGCCTGGATTCAGTTCATATTTCAAAATATTCCATATTTTGAAATATTTCATATGTCAAAACCCAGCACAGGAGTTCTGCTCCAAATACCTAATTCTTCACAGACACTTTAATATGGAAATGGAAACAAATTTTTCAAAGAATGGAATAAAACACACAACAAAGTTGCAAAATCTATCATTTGGAAGTTGGCCGGTTCAGAACTGCTTGTCAGCACCAATTTTTCTACCCAGACACCCTGTCTCTGCATGACACAGAGTCCTCATGGGAAAAATTAGAAAGTGACCAAAGACAAGCCTGTAGTTAACATGCAAGAGGGAGTACTATTTAACATTGCTCAGGAAATTTTCAGTTTATGCTTTCCTTCCTTTGCAGGGATCATTTTGGCAACCTTAACTTTCTCTCTGTGTGAAGTTTGTCTAATACAGGAGAATTCACAGTTTCACTAACTATGTTTAGAGTTATTTGAGACTTTCTGCTGAAAAAGTTTAGTAATTTTTTTTTAAAGGAAACCGTACACATCCTTTGTCTACCGCAGCCCTTTCAGACAAGGTGGGAAAACAGCTTTATCCCACAGAAGTTTTATCCAGATTTAGGAAATTTGCATACAGCTAAAAATTAATATTTCTTTTACTTTGCATCTCTTACCAAGGAGAGTTTAGGCAGCTGGATGAAACAACTGCCAGACAGAAATGCTCAAAGCAGTAAAAGTAACACTGCCCTCAAGCAGCGCAACTGCCTGAAATGGGCCATGAGATCACTTGGCATGATCACTCTCTCCTGTAACAAATCATAACTCTTCCCCTCCTTCCCTTCTTAACATCCCTCTGGATGGTAGAAAAACTCCAGGAAAATGATGTTTAGGACCCCCTGCCTGACAAATATTTTAAAAGTAATAAAAAGCTGCCCTAATCTCAGAGTAGTATCTTTTAATTCCCTGCAAATGCATTCATCCTGTGGAACTCTAGTACTGTAAATTGAAATATGAAAATTATGCACTGTCATAATATCTGTAAGAAGTTCCCTACATCAGCAAGGTCTGATCTTCAGCACAGAAATTTATTGTGCCACTCAAGAGCCTGCATGCCTGTTGACTCCCTTACAGCTCTCACTGAGGATGCAGTTAGGGAAGAAATATGGCTTGCACTAAAGCTTCAGTGCAGAGCCTACTGCATATGCCAAAAACTGTATTTCAGAAATGCAATACACACACTTAAAAATTAGGAGGAGTCTAAAGAGGGGAGGGAAAAGATTAAGACTACAAGCAATCTTCCCATTTTATTTGCCACAGAGCTATTGCCTTAGTCCAGCTGAACGGTAAGGAGCCTAATCCAAAAAGGAAAAGCCCACAGGTGATGTTGTGCTCTTTCCTTTTCTCTCTCTTCCAGCTGCCTCTCTGTACAGACCACACAATATACATTACAGATCACACATGCAATATTGAACTAGTGTTCAGAACCTGGCATCTAGCCACAAGCCCAGATGAAATATTTGCTAACTGATGTTCCTTTTTAAATGCTACACAAAAGTTGTCTTAACATTTTGAAATACAATGCAATATAGCCCAACTTTTCTAATGGATTTTTTTTCATTAGAATATTGAAAATTATCATTACTCTCTATGGGACTGACATGAAGTAGCACAGCTTACCTTCTTGCACAGCTATATCATTGTAATCAGGTATACTTATTAAGTCGGCGTTGTGTTCTTGGATAATATCATCAATGATTTGTGGCATATATTCTGAGAATTTAGGCAGCTCCTGTATCACTGGAATTTTGTAATAAAATGGTGGGGTGGCCATCTCAAAAAGTTCGTTATATGGAGCTTCTTTTGTCCCTATAGCTATTATCTTTACTCCAAGGCTCTGCAAGCCTCTGGCAGCTTCTTGAACATCATCTTCTGAGGGTGCTGATGTCAAAATCACAATGATTTGCTGCCTTTCTTTTTCATCTGCTGACTTTTGGAAAAAGGTTTCATAAGCCTTATTGAGGGCATTTCCAATTTGCACTGAACTCCCGCCTTTAAATGTAAAGTAATTCTTGATACGATTCATCATAGGACTCGCTTTTCTGTAAGCTTCCAGCACAAATTCAATGGACAAATCATCGCTGTACTGAACAAGCGCCAGCCGAAACTGGTTAGGCCCTATTGGTAGGTTTTCAATCATACGGATCATAAATTTTTTCACATAGGGGAGAGACGAAGGTTTCATAGCGTCAGAGCTGTCAATTAAGAGGACAATATCTGTAGGGACTGAAACACAGAAAACTTAGTTTGCTACACTGCCTTTCTCTTCCGGAGTTATAAAATAGTCAGACGCTGCAGCTGTCAAGAAACAAGACTTTAAAAGAAATTCTAAACCTCAGTTAAGTGTGCTAGTGACCACATAGAAAAATGGATGCCTGCAGATAGGGAAATCTCTAGGCAACTGCACCATGACAAAATTAATCATATATTCCATCAAGTGTAGCTTCACTTAGCAAGCTAACAACATACAAATGAAGGAGAGCAGGACTAAGATATAACCTCTTTCTGTTTTGCCTGCTTACGCCTAAGTCAGACTTAGGTTGTTTCTCTTGCACAGAAGATCATCACGTAAGTAAAATTTTCCGAGAATGGGAGAGTTCACTGTTTCACGAAAAACATGGAGGAACAGGATAGGAGGTAGATTGCCAGCATGGGAAATTCAGCAAAAAGGGCCACAGCAAACCATGTTTAAAAATGCCCAGGCACCCTGTATGGGGGTGACTGGCAGCTACACTATCCCCTGGCATGCCTGTGGGGATGAGTTGCAAGGTGGGGTCAGGGCAGGGACCAACTTCCTGCAGCCCATTCCCAGGCAAGGCTGCACTCTGGAAAATGGCCAGCCTCACCTCATCTCATCTCACCTCACCTCACCCCTCCCCTCAGTGTCTCACTTCATACCTCACCTCATGCTTCAGCTCACACCTCAGCCCTCACTTCACAACTCATACTTCAGTTCATATCTTGAATTTCACCTCACCCCCAAAAATCTCAGCTCACACCTCACCTCGCACTTCAACTCACCCTTCAAATCTCACCTCACCCCTCAAACCTTGCCTTACACCTCACATCTCACCTCAAACTTCACCCCTCAAATGTCACTTCACACCTCGTTACCTCACACATCACCTCTCACCTTACCTCCCACATCGTATCTTACACCTCAAACTTCACCTGTTGCCATCCAAACTCAGCCTCAGCTACTGTGCATAGAAGTTTCTTTAACCTCTCAAGCTTCTGGACAGCATTTTCCCATTAAGAATTGCATTAGAAAAAGATATAACAAAATACCAATGTTCTGGGGAACAGACGCATGCATCTCAGAGAGTATGAAGAACAAAGCCAGCAGCATCTTCATCTCAAGGCAGAGTCCTCTGAGCATCCTCTCTGAAGGAGGTGAAAAGAATGGTCACAGTCAGAAAGGTGAAGAAACTGATTTTTAACCATGCATGTGTATCAGAAAGAGTCAGCTCTATTGAGGTCCAAATGCATCCTGCTTTGTATTATTTTTAAATTTGGGGGAAAGCGGAAAGCACTTAACTAGCCAGCTGTTAATCAAATGGTAATTATTATAACAAAAATAATTACTACAGAAATGTGTCTTTTGAACAGCTATTAGCCCTTAATGAATGGGCATGTTTGTGACTTCAGGAAAGCTGGGTATCTTATACTGAAAAACTACTATTTTCCATGAAAGGTTTTCATTTTGTTTTTTAATCTGCGGTGAGAAGCTTTTTACACAATATTGACAGATGATCCAACTTCTGCTGATTTTAGTGGGAGCAAGACTGCACTCTGAGGCTTGATTTGTGTGAACTTATTTTAGCTGATATTCAGTGTGCATCGGGTAACAGTATTCAGATGCTGAAAGTTTATGGAAATAAACTAACAACCAAAGGAGTCATTGCTCTCCTGAATGTTGCTCCTGCTCTTGATAGCCATATGAAAGGAGGAGGAAAAGTCCCATTTAATAGTGAGCTTTTCTGTTTGCACTATGCTGAATTTGAACAGCTGCAGGAGTAAACCTATGCCAGATAAAGGTTATTTTAGTGTGGGTTGTGCTGTGGAAAATGGCACTTTAAACATCTCTGTGAGTGATCCGTCACTCCTGACCCTCCCTATAAGGTGAAGCCCTCTGCATTCCAATTCAGTTGCCAGCTGACAGGCTTTTAAAAGCAAAAATATTTCATAGAAATAATTTCCAGTCTTTCACAGGAAACCTTAAGTCAGTTATTCTGTAAACATTCCTCGTAATCTCAGGCTATGATTTGTCCATGCCTGTAAACATCCTGCATCATGGAAATACTACACCCACAGCTGCCTGTGCTTGAAGCCAGAGCTGCTGCCCGCAGCTCTGTAGGCTGGGCCAGGCTCCTGGGAAAACCACTCACCTGCAAGGAAGAGCCAAATAAGAAAGGTCCTGGAGGACCCCCGCCTGGACCCTCTGCCCTTTGCCTCCGGGGGCTGCACTGCAGGTTGGCCCCTCACCCTCAGTCCATCCCAGTACTGCGCTGCAGGCATGCAACAGCCCGGCTTCTTCCTCACCGGGACCCCAGCCCAGGACACCACTGCCCGGCTCAGCCTTAGACTAGCCTCATCACCAGGGACTTGAGGTGCTGCTCTAAGTAGTTTGATACTTTCCCCTAAAAATTCCTGGAAGGCCACTTTTCCTCCTTTTTCTGACGGCATTGATAAAGCACAGTCTCTTGCAGGACAGTATAGGAGAGCTAGCTCTCAATCCCTGTCTTCTATGGAGGAACACTGAAAAAAAATGGATGTTGACAAATCTCTAACATTGGTGGGAGAAGTCCTTGCCCAGTACCAAAGGAAAATGGGCATCTTTGGGTGCCCAGTGCTGAAAGTTTTGGCAAGTGGCTCTGTAGGAAATCTTTGCTGTCACTTCAGATAGCTGAAATAGGATATTGTGTTTGTACAACTTCTTATTCTTGACTTTTACTGCTATTTCACAGGTGGCAAAATTCCAGTGATTCTTCATCATCCTCCATAGATCTGCTCTTGATTTACAGTATAACCAAGAATATTGTTTGGCCCATGCTTGCTCTAAGAATGTTTTAGTATCAATGAAAACTGAAGTAATAGTTGAAATAATGAGTATAAACTGTGTTTGTTTTCATTTTATCTGACAAGTCATAAGTGTTCCATCTATTTCATCAAAAATAATAAGCTTACTTGTTAAATATCTGAATTGAAATTCTGCTCTCAAGCAGAGAGGGTGCCTGCCGTCTGAATGGACACAGAAATAGTGTTAATTCTACTCTTCTTTTAAAAGCTTCTTGAAGGAGAAATTTCATATTACTGAGCAATGTTTTTAGGTACAAAGCAAACTTGCATGAAGAAAGGGAGGTTTGTTTCTTAAGGGTTACTCATAAGAAGAGTAAGCCCAAAGAAAGAGAAGTGTGAAGGCACACACATGCTCCCAAGGTTTAGAAATCATGAGGTTCAGTGCCCCTTGGAAGTGGTATTTTTTCCAGATTCTCCCTATATAATCGAGTAAGAATTTTAAGTCTAAGGTTCATTGTTCATTGCTACATTTATATTTGTTCTTTCACATTTTTTCAGCCAGGTGTCCTGGAAAGTGATACGCACTACTGATTTGTATGCATTGTCATTACATAGACTATTCCTTGTTCCTCCTACTCACAGAACTAATTTTTTTCTATTTATCAAATCAAATCGAATTCGCTTTTGGTTACATTTTGGCTATTTACATTTTTGAGAAAAGGATCACCCAGCATTGTCCTCATGGATAGGCCGTTACAGCAAACATGATTAATACCAGTGGATATCATTCATCTCCTATAATAACATTGCTTTTATTAAGTGTTGGAGCTCTGTAAGATTTTACCACCATTCACACATAACTACATCAGTGTGTACAACAGATATAATCTGAAAGACTTCATTTACTTTCCTTAAGTCACCACCCTTTCAAAACCCTGAGTGCCTAGTGTTAGCCTGAATGTGTATGTGTTCACAATTAAACATGAATATATATGCATAGTACAGAGGGAGAAAGGGGGGAGGGGGAACAAAACAAAACAAAACAAAACAACAAGTCCAGTAGCTTTTAGGGAAAATCAGTAGCAATTTCAGAAACTCAAATCAAAGCTTTTGCAGAGTCAAATATTAGCAAATGAATACAAAGAGACAAATTTCTCACAAGGAGAAATTTTTTGTTATTGCTGGTTTTTTAAAGAAAACCTTTTCTGATAAGCAGAAGAGACAATTTATAACACTTACCAGACAAAGGGAAAGGTGTATGAATGGAACATTTCAGACCATCAGGATCCCTAAATGGCTTATGGAGACTGATATCCTTTTATAGGGTTTATTATTAATTGGCCACGGAAAATCCTCCCCCAACGGTATTAAATAGATACATTCTGGTGGTTTGGAAGCCTCTAAGAAAAACAGTTGTTATCTTCCCCTCCTCCTACTTTTTCCCTTTTCCCTTCTTCACCTCCCACCCCTTTTTCTCTGGACCGAGTGCCTAGCTGACCTCGAGGGCTGAGCTGCTTCAGACATCAGGAGCACAGCGCTGGAATTCACATCTGGCTCCTCCATGACATATCCCTCTTCTGGGATTTTGGCAGTGCAGTCACCCATGGCATCCCGCAGCCCTGGACATCCATAGCAGTGAGACAGTGGCCAGCAGCGCCTTCAGGGTCTTCAAGGTTGCTGGTGCTCTCTTCCCCAGTTGGGACTAACATCTTGACTCTCCCAGTCACCATTTTTCAAGTCTTGAGCAAACTGGTCGGGGATGGGGCATTGGCACGGTCTCGTTGGAATATATCAGGCAAAATAAATAGGCTGCTAGAGAGATTCACTGGCTCTGAATGCCTGCCTCATTAACACTATGGTATTTCTGGCCTTCCTATCCTGCCTTCTTCGATTGCACTTTTATTTTTTCTTTTCTGAAAATTCAATACATCTGTAATATCACAGGGACTTCTTGGAATTTAAAAAACAGATTTTCTGTATAGATGATGAACACTTAGCCAAAAGCTGAAGTTGCTCTGTGCCTATGTAACATACAGAAACCTGTTGATTTGAAGCCTAAAATTAGGTGCTGTAAGAAAAAAATCTATTTAAAGCCTTAGAAATCTATCCAGAGCCTTTGTGGCTATCTGAAAATATTTGTAGAGTCATAGAGCATTTGCAGGCAACTGGAAATTTTTTTACTGCAATTTGCTGTTCTCACATTTATTTCCACTTCAGGTTGCTAGTGGACAATACTGTAGGACATAGGAAATCTTTAAGATAATCCCATAGAGTGATAGGCCTGAAAGCACTACTTATTTATCTCCATTGATTTCAAAGGAAATTTCACCATGATAAGAGTTTGATACTAGATTAAAGCCTTGATTTACCAAAGTCCTGACATGCTTTCTGGATCCAGGGGCAGCCAGGGTACAAGTAAACAAGCCACATCATGTTCACCCACAGACCTCACCTCACAAAGGGAAAACCATGGAAATATTCTCCAAGATATTTATGGAGGAGATGCATGTTCTCCCACAGCTGTGTTTCACCTTCACAGGGCCTACTTCAGGTCCCTTCAAAATCACAGGAGTATTTTGGGCTTTTTTTTTTGGTTTTTTTTTAGAGAGGGGTAACTATAGCAATCTCATGAGATGCTTGCAAAGAATCATAGAATCATAGAATCGTTTAGGTTGGAAAAGACCTTTAAAGTTGTCTTTGTTCGACCTCTGCTGAATGAGTCAGTCTAACACAGACTAGAGTCTCTGGGACTCAGCGATCAGGTGCTACAAATTTCTGCCTCCCTTTAGAAGTACCATTGTGGGAGTTCAGTGGTGTGTATC